TGATTACTGTTATCACATTATTATCTGGTGTACTGATTTCGTGAACCATTATTTAGCCTCCTATCATTTTACTAATGCTCTTTCACTTCTTTGACAGAATATGACCAAATAGTTTTAAAAATCATATTTGGTACTGTCGCACTTGGATTTATGCAATGCAAACATTATTCTTCTTGTATTTAGAACAGATCTCTAAAGTTGAAATCTTATTTACTGAAATAAATGGTTCATTGACCCTTTGTGATTTTTTAATTCCTGAAGTTGTATAGCTTAGCAACCATTTTACTTGAAAATGGACATTTATTATTTAATATGAGGAAAAACAAATTCTTGATAGTTTTTGTGCTCTGTAAATAATTCTAAAAATGATGATAATATGTTACCTGTTAGTGCTCTATGAGAGATAATAGGTTAGGTAAAAGTTAGTAGTCATGTTGTGATCTAAGTGAGACATGATATTGAAGTAAAAAGTTTGTTGGTCTTCAGCGTATTTTTAATTCTTTGAAAAGGGTGGCTTAAAAGACTTGTTAGAATTTTCAGACCCTTATGAAGCTCAGCTGAGTCACCTGAATTAAATGGAGTTGCTTTGAATCAAATTTTATTGAAGTTTGGAAGTGTCATTTCAGTATATCCAATGGCACCGTCAGAGAATACAGAAAATGCAAACGATAACAGCAAAAGTCAATGCACAACTTGTGAAGTTAATGGACAGTCATCTGTCATGAAGGATGAGCCAAGACGAGAGAGATGTGTTGGACGCTGCGATATGGAATTAGGTGATATCACTCATCACAATGTTGAGGTAACTATTGATTGATTTAAATTCATGTTTTTTTTTTCTAGATTTTAATTCACTGTTATGTAAGTTTATTTCCGGTTTACAGCTTAGAATTCTTATCTTCACAACTAAAAATGATGAAATTATTTTTGGAACAAAAGTTTATTTACAAAAATTGGTAATTTTATCCTTTTAGAGAAGTGTAGCTTTACTTCAAACGCTCATATTTTTTTTAAAACTTTGGCTGAATTGAAAATGCATACATGAGAATTTCATTGTACGTACGTTACATAAATTAGAAATGTCAAGTGCATTAATAAATTTCTAAATTATTAGGCTTGATTTCTTATACTTGATCCGAAAGTTTTTCACTGGATAATGATGGAAATATGTGCATGAGTTTTGCAACTGTTATTTTATACACAGATTTTTTTCAGCAATTAAGACGGCTTAATCAAGCGGTTTTTCCGGTAGCATATAATGATAAATTCTATAAGGAAGTCGTCACAGCGGGTGAATTAGCAAAATTAGCTTATTTTAATGATATAGTTGTGGGTGGAGTTTGCTGTCGGGTTGATACGCAAAATGGCATCCGTCGGCTGTATATCATGACACTTGGAACCTTGGCACCTTACAGACGGTAAGCTAATAATGCTAATAATATTTAATGCTTATTGGATTTTTATAACCAAAATAAACTACTTTTAAAAGAATATATACTCTCTTATGCAACTATATGTTGGACAATGGATTTTAAAGTAGCGTACAGCACATAATGAATAGCCGATCAGGAAAATTGAATTTGATGAAAATTTCATAATTCTATAATTCATTTGTGTTATTTTACTCTACTAAATGTAAAAATGTACTGATTATATCTTGTTAACTTTTGATAAATTTATACATTACAATTAGAAATATATCATATTATCTATAGACTTGGGATTGGGACAATGTTATTAGAACATGTTTTCACACTCTGCGACAAAGATTCGACAATTGAAAACATCTATCTTCACGTTCAGGTTTCTCAAATTTAATTTCTATTTTCCCTTAATTGTTATAAAACTATTTAGTGTAGAAACTAATTAGGAGTATTATGTTGACATTTATCTGTAGTTAAATACAATATAATGTTAATGTTGTCGGCACCGAAATGATGAACTTTAGTTTATGGGCTTAATTATTTCTTCTATCTGATTCAGGACTTCTTTCCTACCGTTTTGTAGAATGAAAGGAATTTTTTCCTTTTTCTTTAATTGAATAAGTAGAGTTCTAATGAAATTATTCAAATTATGCGTTTTTTAGATTAATAATGAATCGGCATTAGATTTCTATAAACGTTTCGGTTTTGAAGTTGTTGGAATGGCAGAAAAATATTACAAAAGGATTGAACCAGACAGCGCTTATATTTTGGAGAAAAAAGTTGAACGAGAAGTCCGCGACCATCTTCCATAGATTCAAATTTTTCAATTTTGCATTTTCCTATGTTTTTGGCTTCCAATTCGCGAAAGCTGACGAATAAAAAAATCATTTGATTTAGTACAATTAAATTTTTGATGTTTTATCACTCTTTTCCATCGTTTTGTTAATAAGCCACTCTTCGAGTATTTTTTAAAATTAATTAACTGACGTAACTTTTTAGAATGCTTCCTGGAGAAAGATATTTCTGCATTCCTTCTTTATTATTTTCTCTTAATATCAAAATTATTTCATTCGGTGACCACTTCTTTTTCTCTCCATGAATTCTTATATATGAAAGAAGTAATCCCTTATGATATTTTTATATAAGATATTATTGCTACGTTTTTCTGCTTTATGTTCACATATAAAAATTTGTATTAAACATAAATTCAATGAAATCAATATGATAATATTGTCAAGCATCAAGATTTCTCTAGTTAATATTCAAGAATTAAAAAGCATTTCATTAGTATTTCTGCAATTAATTTGTCATAGTATTAGTGACTTGTTATTATTTGCTGTATAGATCATACATATTTGGAGCTTATTTGACATAAACTTTTATGTCTGAATAATGATGAGCTACAATAACATAATGCATGCCATCATTCTTCTCCTTCTAACATCGTCATCTCTTCAATAGAAAATAGCATGATAAGGAAATAAAAAATGACAAAGATTCGAAATGATTTATTACAATCCTCAAAGTATTTATTCTGAAAATATTATGCTAAAATTCTTTCAAAATCTGACTACATCCTTAATACTGATGAGTTTTTATTTATAATCATGAAACATAGATTATTATAAATGGGACGCTTAAATTATTGCTATGATAAACAACGAAAAAACACTTTTTATGAAGTGGACTTTATTTCAATAATGATGGAAGTGTGTTTTCTAGAGTTTCACTTTGATTGTGTGTGAGGAAGAGAGGGAGAGAGAGAGTGGAGAAAATTTAATGATGAATCAGTATTATAACAAAAGTGCAATAATTTATAACCAATATTCTGACGGTGTACCGGTTACTAATACATGTTTTGCCTTGATTATTATCATTAGCTGCTTTCCGAAAAGCATCAATTATTGTTTAAAACAAGCTGTTGTCTTAAATGAACAACAATTAAATAATTTATAACAAATATATTTATGAAACTAATCTAAGTAACATTTCTTCAAGATCTGGCACAAAATAAAACCATAAATTAAATTAAGCTGAAGATAGCTTCATTTAATTATTAGCAAACTTTTTAGATTCAAAATTTGATCAATTATGAATTTGAAATTTTTAGCGATAAGAATAATATAGTAGAAATTATAAAAGATAAAAAAAACGAACAATTGATGGCACGTATTTTTTCTGCCCTATTTTTGATCAAATTTTTTGAATCCAAAAATCGAAATCATAAAATATTTTTTAAAAAATAAATGAATAAATATGCAAATTTCCTGATTAATGAATATGATGCAGTGAAATGAATTCAAATGAATAAAAACAACAAAGAATTTACCCGACCAGTTTCATATTCAGATGGATAAGAACGAAGTGGCATTGATTTCCAATGAGATATTCATTTCGACGATTTGTTTTATCTCCCTATCACAAACGAATTGTCTTTTCATCGAATGAATTTGATAAATTTTTTTCGCTTGATTAATTCTCTTTATTATTTCAGTATTTCTATTTAATTTTGGTCATTACTATTTATTCCAGTATTTTTGCTTAATTTAGATATTTCTTCTGCTTAATTGATGCCTATTCAATTCCATTGCTATCTTCTCTTCAGTATTATTTCATTGTTTGATGTAAGTTTTATGATTAATCTCGTTTTTTCCATTTTTTTTTTGTTTTCATTTTGTAATAAATATATGAGAAGTGCTGATAATCTTGAGATTTTATAGCAATTAATGAAGATGATGTTAATAAGTAGGAGCTAAAGTAATAGCCAGAATAGACTGAAAATGAAATATTTTTGCATTATAATTTTTATAATGCTTCGGAATTTCCGAAAACTTTTAATATTTCATATCTCCAAATTTTTATCTTTAAGAAATTAAAATTTTCTTGTAAATATGTTTTCTATCCGAAACATTAAAGTTAATTATCATTTGCACTTAATTTATATCATAATTAATATTTGTTTCTGGAAGATATGTGGAAAAATCTAAAAATGAATAAAAATATGGGAAGTTTTTTTTTTCGTTCGAAAAAATTATCAACGAATTGATCAGTGATTTTCTTAATAACACACATAAGAAAGAAATGAAGAAAAAGAATAACAAAAAACAAGCAATATTTTTATATTTTTACATGTCAATCAATCATTTCACTCGATACTTTTTTGCGATCAATACAAGATCTTGATTAATTACTCTTACTCTAAGATTAAAATTTGTGCAATTTTCAATCATTTTGTTAGAATTTTATTGTTCTATTTTTTTTTAAAATTTTACCATTCATTAAAGGTCAACGCTAAACAAATCTTAGCAGACGTTCATTTATCGCAAAAGCAGCAACAACAGCACATGAAAACGTTACCTTCAAACTTAACATCACGTAAGTACAATTTTAAATTGCTCATTATTATAGTTTGAAATCTCAAAGATTTACAAATTTTATATTTTAGCATAGCATCACCGGAATGCAAAAAATTTATTTACCAAATTTATTTGTCAAAATGTATTTACCAAAGGCAAATTTCTTTACCAAAGATAAAATGATTTATTTACCCAATCATTTGCATTGTTCTAAATAAAGGAAAAAAAAAGCAATAACTATAAATGATTGATGGTTGTAATAAAATTGATGTATTCTGTTCATTAAAATGTGTAATTATATTTCTGTTTTTGTAAATTTGATTTTAAAAACTTTTATATGTGTACAATAAGTTGAAAAGCAATTCCTGATTGTATGCTTATGAAGAGTTATAATCTTACTGAAAATTTTGTTTACTAATGAACATGACTGTTATGGCAAAAAGGTTGCTTGAAATTTTGAAACTGTAAGAAAAAGAAAAAGGTAACAACGAAATATCATTAGCATATCATATCAGTTCAAGTTTATTTTTTTGAAATGAATTTTTAGAAACTGCCTGGCAAACAGGTGAAAATTTGCTTCCTTCATTGATCGATAATGAATTGAGGTAATAATTTATGAATGATAAAATTCATTCCAATATCATTGGACGCTTTTACCATGAAAGATAAAGAAATTTGAGAAATTCTTGAAAATCTTATAAAAATTATTCACTATAGAAACGATGAACTAACAATTGAGCTTGGCCTATTTATCGATGATGCCCTTTGGATACATTTTCAGCAATTATACGACAGTAGCGCAGATTCAATGCTTCGAAATTATGCACTTGCTATTATAAACAATGTATGCTTAAAAATTTTATCTTAAAATAAATCAAATTAAATTACTAACTGTTACTAGCAATAATGTTCATAACACGAATACTTTGTAAAGAATTCATTGATCAGCCATCAAGAAAGTCGTTTGCTATACTAATCGGGCCTATTTTTGATAAAATGACTGATGTGTGATAATTTTCGCATTAAGCAATACATTTCCAGCAATAAAAATATTTTATTTATTACAGATTAATTACAGGTTTATTTATTTCTAAGACTATATTTTCAATAAAATTTATACAGAACAATTACAGATTTATTTATTATTTATTACAGATTTATTTATTGCAGATTAATGCCTTATTTCGACATCCATCACTGATGCAGTCAATTCAATTTGTTGTAAATCATTACGCTGTGATGAAAGTACCACCGGTATTTCTTTTTTAGAATATTCTTGGACAATTAAAAAATTAAAAAAAATTTTTATAAATAGTTAAATATGTTGATATCTTTAATAACGTACAAGAATCTATTATTCTTTTTCAAATGCGGCAATCAATTATATTACATCGGCAATTGATTTAGTTTTTTAATTACAAACATCAAAATAAGATTACAAATACAAGAATAAAACTAAATGCCATCAAATTAAACAAAATACATATGAAAACTATCTTATTAATTAACTAATGAACTGATTACTTAGCACAATCATTTCTCCAATTAACGATTAATTCATCTAATTAACTCTACCTTAAATCATTTAAGCCATGATGCACAAATCATT